CACAGCAGACAGTAGCAGGGATATCAGAGTATAAGGGCTGTAGTGGGGGGAGGGAGGCTATGGGAGGGTGCCATCTGGGAAATGGGTTTATAGTTGAATGAGATGGTTTGGGAGTTTCTGTGTGATATACCCACACAAAAAAAAAAAAAATCAACAAATTAAAAAAATGTATTTGAGGAGGAAGCATAAAAGTTTACGTCATGTTAAGTAGTAGAGGTGATGAACATTACTGTTGAAATCTACCCGATGACTCTATACATACACAGGCACCAAGGATCCGAGTGCAATTGATTATGACTAGTAATAATTAGATACATACAGATTAGAGACACATGCGCCAACATCTCAGTGTTAGTAGCAAAAACAATGAGTCTGTAAGAAACAGTATATTTAGAATGAAATGGAGATCTTTTTTGAAGGTTAAAAACTCATTCAATTTTATGTTTTACAGGGCTTATACTGAGTTCAATATTGTACCACTGTATTGATTCAACAGCAAACCTAGAAATTTTATAACCACTTTTGAAGGAGCTGTGTCTTTGCTCTGGAAAATGTTATTGGGCATGTTAAAGCTGTAATGATATGTTTCTTCTATGAAACTGTATTTTAATAATGAAAGGAGATCTTTTTTAAAGGTTAAAACCTCATATAATTTTATGTCTTAAAGGGTTTATAATGAGTACAATATTGTGTAACTGTATTAATTTAACTGTAAACCTAAAAATTTACAGCTAATTTTGAAACAGATGCATCTTAGCTCTGGAAATTGTTATTGAATATGTCAATGCTGTTTTCATGGAATGCTTCTTCTAATTATGTGGTTATTAAATCAATATTTTTTAAAAATCCTATTATAAAGCAAAAAGAGGAACAGCAGATGAATCACACCTAGATTTAAAGATCTAAATTTTAACCCATAAGAACATTTCTAAATCACCAGGTATGGTGGCTCACATCTTTAGTTCCAGCACTTGGGAGGTGAGGCAGGCAGATTTCTGTGAGAGTGAGGCCAGCCTCGTCTACACAGTGAGCTCCAGGCCAGCTGGGGTTACAGGGAGATTCTGTCTTAAAAAAAAAAGGAATCTCCCTAAATTATTGCCTTTAAGTTACTCGAAGAAAAAGAAAAAAAAAAACCATGCCTTTAAAACAGAGGAAACTCACTGTTTATGTCCAACTAGAAGATGAGGATATGTACATTAAACTGATACTGATTTCTTTATCCAAGGTATGTCTTGAGCATAACCAAAACTACTAATAGAAACTTCCTGTCCATCCTTTAAGGCAGGTACCTGGAGTTTCTATGTTTTCTACCACCTGATAAATGTCCTTTGTAACTAATAGAGAGATGTCAAGTAAAGAGCCTTCACTCATCTGAAACTTCCTAATACTACATCTTTAAGCAGTATTTATTTATGGCTAAAATAGATTTCTGGCCATGGATTTTGACTTGCCATTCATGATAGGTGTAGTAGCCAGTCTACAAGATGCCCCAGCGATTGCTGTTTCCTGGTATAGTGTAGTGCAACCCCTTCCCATATCATAGCAAAATTGGCCTCTGTGACCAACGAAATACAGCATAGAGCAAAATGGTCTAGGAGTGGGCAGCATAAGAAAGGGCATGCAGAACATGCAGGTCCTATGCTGTACTCGAAGCATCTGAGGAGGATTACTGGCTTGTCTCACTGTCTGTTCTCAGTGGCAGTGTGGTACAGTAGGAGGTGTATTGGTGGGGTGCCAAGAGACTGCTGACCTCAGAAACTTAAACTTTTTGGAATCTTTTTTCTTGTGGAAAGTTGGAAAATTAGCACCTACCTTACTAGGCTTTGCAAGGCTTAGAGGTTTTTATGCAATTCTTAAAACAGTGACCAACACATCATTTCTTAGTACACGCTAGTTATTAGTTAAAACTCTTGCGATTACCTTTACTTCAATATCTAGATTATAAACTGGTAGGTGACAAGAGTTTGCCATATACTTCTTTGGAAGTCAGTATGGTACTGAAGTTAAGACCTTATTTGGAGACTGTTGTGTTTGAATCCTAGCTCTGCTACTTAACCTCTCTAAATGTGGTTCCAAGTCTATCAAGTTCAGATCATAACAGGATCTAAGACCTCATAGAGCCATTAATTGATTTGATATGTGTGTGACAAAGTACTTTGCACATGGTGAATTCAGGGGTCGCTGATATCTGACTACTTTGTGACCTACCAACAAAGATTATAGATACTTCTGGGTTAAAGGTTTATAAGAAAAAGGGGGGACACAGAAAGAAATGGAGCTCCCAGAATCCTGAATAAAAATAGAAACTACCTGCTCTTGTTCTAGCTTCATGAGCTCACAGAGATCCACCTGCCTCCCCAGTACTGGGATTAAAGGCATGTGCCACCACACCCAGCCCAAAATCACCTTCTTTAAAACATCATCTTCTGGATCTTCCATGAACCTCTTGTACCTGTGTTAATTCAGCTTTTTACATTAGTGGACTGTGACCTCCCTGAAGGCAGAGATCAGGTCTTAATGGTATTCTTAGTACTTGGCCTGACCTCTTGGCAGAGGCAGGTGGATCTCTGTGAGTTCGAGGCCAGCCTGGTCTACATGGTGAGTTCCAGGACAGCTGGGTCTACAGGGAGACCCTGTCTCAAAAAGACCAAAAAAAAAAAAAAAAGGGGGGGGGGAATGAATGAAAATAATGCTCTTTCCCCCTTACAGTTCTGAGTGTCACTCATTTTTTGTCAGTCTGGTATAGCTGGAGGTTTTGAAACCAACTTGCTTATGGGGAATGAAATCACAGTGTTTGAATGCAGCCAGCAGGATATGACTACCCAGACTTAAGCCACCATCAGGATAGCACTTTCTTATACAATGTGACCTTCAGTTCTCTGACTGAACCCACTCCCATCAATTTATTCTAGTTCTCTCCCTCCTTACCCTCTCTTTCCTCCTTCCTTCCTCCCCTCCCTTCTTTCTTCCTCTCCTTCCCATTGGAGTACCAAAGAGCTACCACCCTTCCCCTGAACTGATGTTTAGCTTTAGTAGGCTTTGTATACAATCAAAATTTCAAAATCCACTGTGAGAAATAAAAACCAAATAGAGGAAAAATGAAACTCTTCAAAACACACACTACCTTCCACTGCTCTTTTGAAGAATACTTTACAGCTTCCACATGTCAACACTCCATAATGACATCCGGAAGCTTCATCTGAGCACACCAGGCAGAGTTTGGGAGGTGGTCCTGTTGCTGTTGAGGAGCTAGATGGAGGAGAGCTCACATCTGGTCTCATTCCAGGGCTATAGAAGAGGAGAAACAGTGTTATGATTTAATTGTCATGACTGTGAAAGGAATGTCAAGATAAGACTTTTCTTTGCTTCTCATTTCATGTCAGCATACTCACACTAAAAATATCCTATCTAAATATATTGAAACATGTTTTTATTCCTTAAAATATGAAATGTAGGGGCTGGAGAGATGGCTCAATGGTTGAGAGCACTGGCTGCTCTTACAGAGCACCCAGGTTCAATCCCCAGCACCCACATGGTAGCTAACAACCATCTGTAACTTGAGTTCCAAGGGATCCAAACACCCTCTTCTGGCCTCTTCAGGCATTGCACAGCATGGGTGCACTTACATATATGCAGGCAATATACTCATACACATAAAATAAAAATAAAATATTAAAACACTAATATGCATACTTTTAAAAAAGATGCAATGTAGCAGCTAGTGAGATGGCTCAGTGGTTGACTGCTTTCTCAGCAAACATGAGAACCTAAATTGAAATCACTAGCATCTCTGTAAAAAGCAGGGCATGGCTGTGCATGCCTGTAATCCCAGCAGTTGGGGGTGGAGAAAGGTGGATCTGAAGGGCTCTCTGGCCAGCCAGATTAGCTAAAACAGCAAGGTTCTTATTCAGTGAGGGACCCTATCTCAAGGCACTAAGGTTGAGGGTGATAGAAGAAGAGGCTCTGGCCTCTGCACGCACACACACACACACACACACACACACACACACACAGAGGCATGCATGAAAAGCAGTAACTAATTCTTTTTGTGTTCCCTAAACAAAATGATGAAATTATAAATTTTATAGCAATTATAAATTTTAATTGCTTTGGATTTTTAACATCACCATTACTGAAATTCCATTTAAATACAATAACATGCACCATTTTTCTAAGTGTGTAATTGATGGGTTTTGTTAAATGGTAAGTCCTGTAACTAACACTATGATCATTTAATGTTGATATTTCTATCACACCCAAGAAATGCCTTCTACCCCTCAATTGCTTAGGACGTCCATCTTTTTCTCTTTTTAAGATCATACATTAATCAAGTCTTATTACAGCTCTATCCATTTTCTCCTCTAGAGCAAAAGTTACATACAAACTCAGAGTTTGGGACTACATCTCAGTGCCATCCTAGCTGGAATAACATTCTTTTAAAAAAGATTTATTGATTATTTTTATTTTATGTGTATGAGTGTATTGCCTGCATATAGGTAGGTGCAACTCATGTCGTGCAATGCCTGTGGAGGTCAGAAGAGGCTGCCAGATACCCTGGAACTGGAGTTATGGATAGTTGTTAGCTGCCATGTGGGTGCTGGGAATCGAACCCGGGTCTTCAAGAGCAGCCAGTGCTCTTAACTACTGAGCCATCTCTCTAGCCCCAGAATAATAGTCTTATGACTAAGAAAAGATCAATCTAGAAACATTGCTTTTATAACCTTCCTGTCTGGCTTGCTGTAAAAAGCACTGTGCTCCCAACTCCAGGGGCCATCCTGCTCTCTCCTCTCAACCAAAATACCCCAGAGCACAAGAGGAAAAATACGAATCTGTTCTCTCACCAGGCCTCACTTCTCACTTTGCAAACTTCTCACCATAGTGTGTGCAGGTGTAATGCTCACAGGTATTTACATTTTTCTCGAAAAATTTCAAATTGTCAAAGAAGTATAAGAGATATATATCTTTTACCTATACTTACTAAGTATATTTTATAAAGCAATGAAAATAGAAGATAAACTACTACATTTTATGTTGTGATAATGATGGTTTCAGTACTGAATTATCCTATGGAACTCTGACTTCACGTGCTGATTTTAGGATTAAAATTATATTGTGTGGCTAAAAAGAATTTCTAGGGGCCTGGAGAGATGGCTCAGCGGTTAAGAGCACTGACTGCTCTTGCAGAGGACCTGGGTTTGATTCCCAGCACCCACATGGCAGCTACAAACCGTCCTTAACTCTAGTTCCAGGGGAATCCGAAGTCCTCTTCTGACTTCCATGGCATTGCACGACATGGGTGCACTCACAAACATGCAGGCAATACACTCATACACATAAAATAAAAATAATAAATAAAAAAAATTTTTAGCTTTGTGCTTCAAAGTATGTTGCCCATTCCTTATCTAGTTATGGACTCTCAAGCAGCCTTTAAAAATATGGACAGTATCAACTTGTTGGGTTTGCAATTCTTTTTTTCTTAAAAAATCATTTTTATTTTTTTATGAGTGTTATGCCTGTATGTGTATAAGTGCACCCATGTCGTGCAGTGCCCATGGAGGAGAGAAGAGGGAGTTGGATTCCCCTGGAACTGAAGTTACAGATGGTTTTTGGCTGCCATGTGGGTCCTGAGATTCGCTCTCTGGTCTTCTCTCAGTGCTCTTTACCTCTGAGCCATCTCTCCAGCTCAGGTTTGCAGTTCTTAAAGTGTGGTGTTTGTTACCTGTATATGAAAGTTAACAAACATAGCCACTACCTCTTTGAGTTTTTCTTACTTTACTCCCTTAAGAGATGGCATTTTGGAATAAGCTTAGATTGGATGTAGGTTGTCTCTTCATCCTTTATTAATAAATTGCATGTTTTTATTTCAGCCAATGACAATGCTAAATCTCAAATGCAAAAATATGTAATACATAGAGCAAACTAAAGAGATTAGTTACCAATTAGTTGGAAATAATAAGTATCATTGTTCTATTTAGGAAAAAATTTAAAAAGTAATAATCATAGCTGGGAGTGGTGGTTCATTCCTCTAATTCTTTTTTTTTAAAGAGTTTATTTATTATTTTTATTTTATGTGTATGAGTATATTGCCTGCATGTATGTGAGTGCACCTGTGTTGTGCAATGCCATGGAGGTCAGAAGAGGGCTTCATATTCCCCTGGAACCAGAGTTAAGGACAGTTTGTAGCCTCCACATGTGGGTGCTGGGAATCGAACCTGGGTTTGCTCTTAGCTGCTGAGCCATCGCTTCAGGCCCTCATGCCTCTAATTCTAACACTTGGGAGGCTGAGGCAGAAGGATTGCTGTGAGTTTGAGGCCAGCCTGGGTTACACAGTGAGCTCTGGGCCAGTTTGGGGCTATAGTATGAGACCCTCTCAACAAACAAAAACCTTTAAAAAATGTAATAATTATAGAATAATTTGAGTAATGATACTATTAAATAGGCTAAAAGTTAAAAAGGCTCACCCCAAATTAAACCCTCAAATGAAGCTTCCTGAATCTCGCCAGCTTTCTTGTTTATCTACAGACTTAGTTGATAGCACAACATTCCTGCCATCCTAGTTCTGGGAAGAGGCTCTAGGGTTTCATATTGTTCTCTAAGCACTGTCAATAAGAATTTCTGCATGTTTCAAAAGCACAAGGTATTGATTCCTTGCTAGAGTTGGGACAGTGGACTGGATACATATTGGAAGTCTGCAATCAAAAGGAATAACCTGAAATGACTGCTGCAGGTCCCACACAGCCACCCCTGGTTAATGAAAACTGTGAGTAACGCAGAGTTGCCCCTTTGGGCCAGAGTTTTATAGAGCAGTAGGAAGGCTCTGGAATGAATGTAGTCAGTAGCAATGTGTTGGGGAGCAAAATCTTCCCTGGCTTCTGTTTGGAAGATGCTCCTATTCCAGTTCAGACAGACTCTGCCACCTGATATCTATATTTAAGGAGTAACCAGTTGCTTGTATATTCAGTTTATGAAAAATGAGCACATTGTTTAAAGATTTTTAAGATCAATCTTGTAATATTTCCTTTACCTGTTTTATAGACTGTATTCACATGTGTATAAAAATATATGTATTTTAATTTTCAACTGTATTTTGAAGTACTTTATGCTTTTAGAAGTCATTTATCTGCTCTGTGAAAAGATGTCACCATCCCTAGATGAGGTCATGCAGACAGTGATTGATCAGAAAGAAAACCGACTTGTTTCAGATCCTAGCTGTCCCACTCAAGAGCCTGTATGGCTTTGGAAAAGTATCTACTACTTTAAGCTAAAGCTAAAGCTCAGGAGGCTGAGGTTTCCCCTGCCAGTGTGTTATGGAACAGAGTAACACATTCAGAAGTCTAGTATAGTCCCTATACCCAGCAGTCAACTGAAGCATGTTCATGCTTTTTTTGTATCAGGAAAACTGAAGACTTTTATGTATAAACACTATTTAGTAGGAGGTAAGTATTAAGTCTAAAAATATAGGATAGTATTCCCTAAGTTATCACATATAAATTAGAATATATGTAAAACATGTTCAGGCCTCTCAAGTGTAAGCTATGGATGGCAAATGGGAAGTTAAAACTAAATGAGCCAAGAATCTAGGACCCAGGCTTCAGATAATCATTTGGGCTACATAAGCTAAGGACTCAGTAAGCAGAAAATTGCATGGAAAGCTGTGTACCAAAGGTATGAGTGTCACACAAAAGGAAACTATTAGGCCATACTGACCACTATGCAAGAAATGGATGAATATAGCTGCAAATATTACTTGTCATATTGCTGAAAGGGCTAGGGTTCAACAAAATGGCTAGAACGCAAGAGAAAACTACCGCATCTTTTAATAAAAAGCTATGGCAGAAATTAAAGTTATGTTTTAGAAACTATATATTTCACCCTTTGAATGGGATAATGAAACATCATGGTATTAAGGGCATCATCATTTCTAATAGTTGCAGATTCTTCAGTGTGTATTTAACTGTCAAACACACTGAGGATGCCGAGTTCTCTTTTAAACTGACTACACTCAAGGTGCTTTCCTTTAAGTGAAGAGCTGTAGGAACAAAATACCTGTTTCAGGTGAAACTGGCATACTGTTAGGTGCCAGTCAGAATGGCAAATGTCTCAACACTGAGTCATGCCTGAGGTTACTGAGATTATTGGGAGCAATGTATCTTTTTTCTGTTTAATTTTCTTATAAGAAAAGGAATTGATGAAAAGCATATGCATGGATGGGTTATGAAACTTAACCACACTTTAGGAAACATGTACAATGTTTAGGTAAATTACACCCATGCGTTCAGCAGATCCTT